CCCCCCGCCGGGGACCCCCCCCCAGTGCGGGTCCCCCCCCCGGGGACACCGCGGGGACCCTCGGGGACCCTCGGGGCCGCGCTGCCGTTACCGGGGCCGCTGACAGCTCCGCGGGCAGCGCGGGGGCGGGGACGGGGCCGCGTCACAGCCGCGCTTAACCCGCTCGCTGCCGCGGCGCCGCGGGGACACCGGGGACACGGAGCAGCGCGGGGACACCGGGGGGCGCCGCGACACCGGCGGGGAGGCGACAAAGCGGGAGGCGACACCCCGCCGCGAGCGCCGCCCCCCGGGACTGTGACACCGGTGACACCGTGGCGGCGGCGGGGGGGCGCTGGAGGGGGTGGCGGGGGTCCCGTGTCGCGTGTCGCGTGTCGCGGGTCCCCAAAGCGCCCCCGCTGCAGTCCCGGCCCCGCCGCCGGGGGAGCGCTGCCCGCGGGGCTGCGGGACCGGGGGGGCAACGGGGCCGCCCCCCGCCCCCAAAAAAAAACCCCACCGGGACCCCCCAGGGCCGGGCCAGCCCCCCCCGAGCCCCCCGGTGGGGTTTCCCCTCTCCATGGTTCTGATGGGGCGGGCACCGGGAAAAACGGGGCGGGGGTCCCGGTCACCTCGGGGGGTCCCCACGGTGATCTCGGGGCCGGGGTCGCCCCGTTACTGCCCTGGCTCCTCCTGGGAGCGCTGCCCGGTGCCGGTGCGGGTGGGCAGACTCCCCCTGTGCCCCCCCCCAGCGCCCCCGTGTTGGGGCCGGGACCCCCGCGACCCCCGGGGGTCCCCGTGCCCCCCAGGCCGCGCTGGGATGCCCTTGTCCCTCCGGGAGCGCTGCTCCTGCAGCACTTCCCGGTGCCGGGACGCTCCAGACCGGGCAGCTTCGCCCCCTCCCCGAATTTCAGCGCCCCCCGGGGGTCCCCAAGCCCCCAACTCCCGGCGGGCACCCCCGGGCCGGGCTCCGCCGGTGCCGCTCCCTGCTGGCACCTCCCGGTGCTCCTGCAGCACTTCCCGGTGCCGGGACGCTCCAGACCGGGCAGCTTCGCCCCCTCCCCGAATTTCAGCGCCCCCCGGGGGTCCCCAAGCCCCCAACTCCCGGCGGGCACCCCCGGGCCGGGCTCCGCCGGTGCCGCTCCCTGCTGGCACCTCCCGGTGCTCCTGCAGCACTTCCCGGTGCCGGGACGCTCCAGACCGGGCAGCTTCGCCCCCTCCCCGAATTTCAGCGTCCCCCGGGGGGTCCCCGAGCCCCCCAACTCCTGCGGGCACCCCCGGGCCGGGCTCCGCCGCTCCGCTCGCTGTTGCGGCTGCGGCTGCACCGAGCTGCGCCCGGTTCCACCGGGGCCGGCACCGAGCGGGGCCGGGGGGGCTCCGGGGCCGCCGGGGGGTCCCCGCGCCCTTCTGGTCCCCCCCGGTCCGTGCGGGTCCCGCGGGGACGCTTCTTGTGCGTGGGGATGGGGACAAGGGGACAACGGGGACAACACGGGGACAACGAGGGGACAGGGGGACAGCGGACAGGGGGACTGGGAGAAGAGACTGGGAGAGGGAACTGGGACTGGGAACTGGGAGAGGGAACTGGGACTGGGAGAGGGGCCCCGTGCTGGGGAGCAGGAGCTGGCACGGGGGACTGGGGCTAGGGACAGGGTGCTGATACTGGGACTGGGAGGTGACACTGGGGACTGGCACTGGGGACTGGGACTGGGACCTCAGGTCTGGGAGCTGGGACTGGGAGCTGGGACTGGGAGCTGGGACTGGGGACCAGCAGCTGGCACTGAGTGCTGGGGCTGGGGACAGGGTGCTGACACTGGACTGGAACTGGGAGCTGGGACTGGGAGCTGGGGACACAGGACTGGGACTGGGACTGGGGACTGGAAGCTGGAGCTGTGTTGGGAACTGGGACAGGGGACTGGGGACACAGGACTGGGAGCTGGGACTGGCACTGGGAGCTGGGACTGGCACTGGGAGCTGGAGCTGAGTGCTGGGAGCTGGTACTGGGTGCTAGGACAGGGGACTGGCACTGGGACTGGCACTGGGACTGGCAGCAGGACCCGGCCCAGCACCAGCACTGGGACCTGGCCCTGGGTACTGGGACCAGAAACTAGGGCCTGAGACTGGGAACTGGGATTGGGACTGGGACTGGGAACTGAGACTGGGAATTGAGACTGGGAGCTAGGATTGGGACTGGGACTGGGAACTGAGGCTGGGAACTGGGATTGGGGACTGGGACTGGGAACTGAGGCTGGGAACTGGGACTGGGGACTGGGATTGGGACTGGGAGGACACCGGGGAGTGGGAATTGGGGACTGCAGACTGAGATTGGGGCAGGGACTGGGAGCTGGGACTGGGAGCCAGGACTGGGACTGGGGACTGGGACTGGGGACTGAAATTGGGGGACTGGGCCTGGGACTGGAACTGGGGACTGGGACTGGGAACTGGGACTGGAGCTGGGACTGGGGACTGGGACTGGGGACTGGGACCGGGAGCTGGGACTGGGACTGGGACCTGAGAGTGGAGACTGGGGACTGGAACTGGGACTGGGAGCTGGGACTGGAGCTGGGAGCTGGCACTGGGACCGTGACCCGTCACTGCGCGCTGGGGCCTGGCCCTGGTGCCCGGGGACCTGGGGACTGTCACCACGCTGGCACCGCTCAGCGGTGGCACTGGGACCTGGCACTGGGGGCGCGGGGCAGGTGGCACGGTGACCCCGCGGTCCCCAGGGCACGTGGCGGGGTGACAGCAGGGTGACAGCGGAGCGACAACAGGGTGACAAACAGGGTGACAGGCTGGCAGCAGGGTGACGGCAAGGTGACATCAGGGTGACGGCAAGGCCGACAGCAGGGTGACAGCGGAGCGACAACAGGGTGACAAACAGGGTGACAGACAGGCTGGCAGCAGGGTGACGGCAGGGTGACATCAGGGTGACGGCAAGGCCACAGCAGGGTGACAGCAGGGTGACAGCAGGGTGACAGCAGGGCCCTGCTGGGGACAGGCCAGCGCGGCCAGGGGTCCCCGCTGGGACAGCGGGAGGGGACACGGGGACTTGGCCGCGCCTGGCTCGGCTCCGCCCCCTCCCTGCCTCAGTTTCCCCCGGGATTTCTCCACCTGCTCCCGGCGCGGGACCCCGGGGGGGCGAGGGGCCGGGGGCGAAGGGCGAGCGGAAGGGAGGGAGGTGTGAGGCGCTGCCGCCCCCTCCCCGAATTTCCTTCCCAGGCATTAAATGCGCTCGGGCGGCTTTGAAATTTTATTACCCATAAAATTGACGACACGCTGGGGTTTTCCTCCCCGGGCCTCGGGCCCCCCCTCCCCGCCCCTTTGGCAGCTCGGGGGCCCCCCAAAATAAAGGGCAGAGCCCCTCCTCCCGCCGGGGGTCCCGCGGGCCCGGACCCCCGGCCGGATGCGCCCCGGGGAGGGGAGTGGGGGGCTCCTCTCCGTTATTATTTTGATTTTTTTTCCCCCCCTCCCCGCTCGCCCCCCCCGGGCAATTGCGGGGTTTTTATGGCTCCTGAACAGAAGGAGGGGAAGGCGCTTTATGGGCGCAGCAGAGCCATAAAGATCTCGGGTTCCCCCCGGCCGCCCCCCCGGGACGAGCCGCGAGGGTTAATTGGCTCCTAAACCCCCCGAGGGGCTACCCGTGACCCCCGCGACCCGCGGGGGGTGGGGGAGCTTAATGAGG